TTTAAAACACATTTTTTCACTTAAAAAATAATTCATGCTTAGAAACATTAAAAGATAATAATATTTATGTATCAATCGATACTTTTAGGCATGAAAATAGCAGCCATTTCACAGGCACTTTAAGTACCAAAAATTCCCCATTTTTCACATGTGCTCTAATAGAAGCTGCATCTCTTCTGTTGCATTGCTGCATTTTAATAGAAGCCACATCTTATAATACATATTCTATAGTACAAAAAAAATCATTGAATTTGCTTTTAAGACAAAGTTTTATGAATTACCCAAGTTGCCAAATATTGCAGCAGATTTTAGTGTCATTAAGACTTTTGTAAAATTCATGAAACAGCAAACTTCTAACTCACTCTAACTCATTCTAACCTTGCTCATTTTTGTACCTATAGGAATGTGTAAACCACGCAATTTCTCTCACAAACCATATGCCGCTAAAAGTATAGTAGAAGATCTTAGAGAAGAAGCTATCCCATCACTATTTGATGCTTTAACGGAAGATGGTTACATTGACTACGACAGCCAATGGAGTGTGGTGAAGTTTACCCATCTGGTTGAGACATTATACTCCTTCAAACCCCCAAATAAAGGTAACCAGAAATGTTCACAAATTTTTCAATGTCAGTGTGTTAGTTGTTTTAGGTATGAATTGTGATTGGTCATTAGCTCAATCATTCGGGTAGTATGATTGGTCATTAGATCTATCATTGAGTGACTTGTTTGTTAATATTGCAGTAATTCAGGAACATTGATGGATTGATCAGTCATTATCACAATCGGTGAGGGCCTGTTCAGTCATTCGTCCAATCATCAAGGGACTGTGATTGGTCATTAGCTTGATTGTTGGGACAGTATAATTGGTCATTAGCTCAATCATTGGGGCACTGATTGGTCATTAGATCTATCATTGGGGCACTATGATTGGTCATTAGATCTATCATAGAGTGACTTGTTAATAGCTCAGTAATTCAGGAACATTGATGGATTGATCAGTCATTAGCTCAATCATTGGGGCACTATGATTGGTCATTAGATCTATCATTGAGTGAATTGTTAATAGCCCAGTAATTCAGGAACATTGATGGATTGATCAGTCATCAGAATCATTGAGGGACTATGATTGGTCATTATCAGAATCATTGAGGGACTGTGATTGGTCATTAGCTCGATCATTGAGTGACTTGTTTGTCAATAGCTCGGTAGTTCAGGAGCTGTGATATGGATTGATCACAATTATTAATTGACTGATTAGCCATTAGCCAAATCATTGAAGTACTGTGGTTGGTCATTAGCCAAATCATTGAAGTACTGTGGTTGGTCATTAGTTCAATCATTGAAGTACTGTGATTGGTCATTAGTTCAATCATTGAAGTACTGTGATTGGTCATTAGCCAAATCATTGAAGTACTGTGGTTGGTCGTTAGTTCAATCATTGAAGTACTGTGGTTGGTCATTAGTTCAATCATTGAAGTACTGTGGTTGGTCATTAGTTCAATCATTGAAGTACTGTGGTTGATTGTTAGCACAATCATTGAAGTACTGTGGTTGGTCATTAGCCAAATCATTGAAGTACTGTGGTTGGTCATTAGTTCAATCATTGAAGTACTGTGGTTGGTCATTAGTTCAATCATTGAAGTACTGTGGTTGGTCGTTAGCTCAATCATTGAAGTACTGTGATTGGTTGTTAGCTCAATCATTGAAGTACTGTGATTGGTCATTAGTTCAATCATTGAAGTACTGTGATTGGTCATTATACTGTATTAAACTTAAATGGAATTGATGGATTTTCCCATTTCATCACAAGTAATAATCTGCATATGTAATTGATTTAAGTTAATTTCCTGGTACATATATTTGTTTTCAGATGAAGACAAAGCGCTGAATAAAACTCTTGGCAAAGAATGTACAGTGGTCTACCTTCATGAGTGCATCTCTATGGATAAATGCAGTCTTGCCTGCCAGTCAATGGGGGCATCGGCGTATCGTTGGTTCCATTCTAAATGTTGTGAGTGTATCGGCCATATGTGTCTGAGCTATGGTAAAAATGAACCTATGTGTAAAGCCTGTTAGGTTACTGATCTATATAAATTCCATATGCTGCAATACACTTTGAGATGTGCACTATATGCAATGGGGAATCTTTGCAATGTGAACAAGTTGAACACTAAATGTGGCTTTATAATGCAATCGATTGATAAAGTTATGCACCATCTTTCCAATGCTAGTTATTGAGTTAATGCAAAGCTACTTACAAGGTTGTGTCTGATTGGTTAACAAATGCTAATACCTACCTGTCAGACCAATCAAAGCGCAGCTTGTATGTTAACAGGTATTTTCGACGAATCAAATTCTGCTTGTCATACATACTTTCACTCAACTGCAGTAATTGTGGATGTTTTAAATATAAAGTGCCTTTAAACATTGTTTCTAGAGTTTATTCTTATTGGTACAATTGTTGTTTTTTCTTCAGATTTTCAAGTTATACAATATTCTTTTTTTATTTTCAAGTACATTTAAGAAACAGAACCTTTTTTTTTTAACCAAAATGAACATTTTAGTTGTTATAGTTAATACAAAGGACACAAACGAATAAATCTTTTTGTCAATGTCTGTGATTAATATTGGGCAGCATCACAAGATTTTGTTAAGCAGTGCTCTGACAGCTATTGTAGATTCTGTGCACAACTATACAATCATTTTTGTGATACTGTCAGTGACCTGTCAGTGACCTGTCAGTACAGTATTTAACAGTTATCCTGTAGTGGAATTGTACCAACCAGTGAACTCGCATTTTTAGTTTGCATATGTAAATTTAAAAAAAAAACTCGAAATTTATTGTGCATTTTAACATGATTTAGCTAGTGTGATGAATTTGGAAAATAAACCAAGTTTCAATTGTGATAGTACAATAATAAAAGTATTTCTACTATCTGCGGTGGCCATGTGGTTTCACTCATGGTGTTCATGATGTACGAGTGTTTGCATGGACAGACAGAATGGCGTCTTACTTTAAGCTGCCTGCAGGAGTGGGAGCTATGGTACGTTTTTTTTTACTGTTCTTAGTCGTGTGACTCATTTTTTTTAAAATTGTGAACACCACACTCTATGCCTTCTAAGTTTTCAATAACATATTCAACCTTTTGAGTGTAAAAAATAAATTTGGTTGCTCTAAGGCTTGAGCAAAGTAACATTGACAAATGAAAAGATGTAAGCAAACTGACCAGCTTTGGTGATAACTGGTACTCTGAAATTTTTGAATATTGCTAAAAAGTCACAAATTGAAACCAATTCATTTTACATTATAAATTTATTAGTGGCTTGCAATAAAATATTACAAATATTGGTGTTGTATGAATAGTTCATTTAAAGACTGTATAGCGCCCTCTAACATTGAGTAGAATTGTGTATTGAAGGCACCAATCAAAGATGTTGTACCAGACAACAAATTACTTTTTCAATTCACAATTTATTCCCTCCCCAAGGTCAGATGCTGTTCTTCAACTTTTCATGTCAGAGTTGAAAATTTGTCATTGTGTGGAGAGACCTGCGATGCAGCATCGTTGTCAAAGGTTGAGGGCGCCATATAACTTGGGGGAAAATCTGAAATTTCAACAAATATTTACCAGACCTAATAATGTGAACTACTGAAGGCTTTCCCCTCAAGGGTGATAATTAAGGGTTGAACCATTAATATTGTTCAGGGACTACATGGAGAGACCAGCATGTGTGTCTTGAAGCAAAAAATCAAATACAGCACAAACAACCTTATACCAAGCAACTCATTGATTCACTGAAATGCAGGAAGTCCTTCCTTAATTAAATAAATAAACAAATACAAGAAAGCCAGAATAAAAGGAAGTGCATGCTGTGAATATTAACTAGAGGAAGTCATTATGTTGTATTTATAAAATTAAATATTAATTTGAAGCAAAGTTTCTTATAAATAAATGACCAAGGTGTCGTCTGTCATCGATATCGAACAGAGTTCAATATTGAAAAGCGTTGACCCTACTATTCTGGGTGAGTGTACTGCTGGCTGAGATTTATACACTAACGAACTTTTGTTACAGTTTGCTTGTGTTCGACTGGGCCTGGTTGACACTAGGATAGCACATTAAGTTGCCATTATGATAGAAAGATGGTCACACAGCACTGTCATAGTCCCAAACTGGAATATGGTCTGTGTGACAAAAAGTGCTGTATGTCAGCACTGACAATTGCCAATTGTACATAGAAAAAAGTTGTTCAATGTCTGGAACTATTGCCTGGCACAAAAATATTATAAAACATGACTGATGTGTTTTTAAATGGTGGCAAACCCCCCCCCCCCCCAAATGTCAAAAGTTTTATTTGTAACAGTATACATAAAAAATGGCACACGGAGTTCATTTCAATCTGAGCAATTATTGATATGTACATCCATAATGATATTTTGTGTAATAGTTTCAATGGAAAACTGCAATGGTAGCAATCTCAAAAACAACTGAACAGGTACTGTACACATCTGAGTTGAACCAAGCACATGTTTTAATCAAACTAAGTAAGCTGACAAGTTTGCAGTGCACCACCAGAGTCAACGATGGATGTGGCTAACACACTTTTGACATGGATTCTATTTCCTGTAAATGGTTACCCAAATTTAAATTTATGAACTAGATAGAATAGAACTCTTTTTGTCTGTTATTTGCAAAATTAAACCAAATATCAAGCGCTTTTGCGCATTTATAGTTGGTAGCATACATTTATAAGTTTAAGGGGCTGACCATTGAAAACTCTTGGGTGGGAGACAGTAAATTTTGAGATTTTCTCAAAATGCACCATGCCCCCCTGATTTCCTAGATCAACCTTCTATTGGAAGTATATCTTCAACATGAGAGCACTTCTTATACTTGAAATGAGTATATGTAATATTTATACATAGCTGGTAAGTGCGACTAATAATGAGCCATGCAAACTATCAACTAATCCCTGCAAGAGCTGTAAACCCAAAGAATTCAGTCTTTGAATTTAAATTTAGACGTTTAAAATTAGCAGTGTTTACGAAACGAGAATTAATTGACCATTTGTAGGAAGTGTTTATGATTCAATGTGGCAGTGTTCATGGTGCAATTAGGTGTGACGTAGGAACAACACTGAAAATGTTTAAATTGTATTTAGTTTATATGTATGGTTTATACATATATTTACTACAAACAGCGCCCTCTATATTTCGTAGAAAAACTACAAACTCAACTGGCTGTTTCTTAACATGCCCGGTACATATGTTTTTTATCTACATGCATGTGACACTGGCATTGAATTACACTGTAATCTCATTATAATAAACTCTTAGGAGGATTACAATTAGTTTGTTATAGTGAAATGTTCACTATGGAAAAGCATAATGCATTGAATTTGTTATAAAGGGGAATCTTGTGTTCATTATAATGAGGTTAGAGTGACAAAGATCGAAATACAAGACTTAATCTACTGGATTACGCGAGTCACTGGCATTCACTTTGATTACTTGTGGTTTCTTGTTGCCATGATTAATTACTACAGTGATCATCTAATAGCAGGACCCAGGCCATACAAATGATATTGCCACAAGCAGCCATGCATATTCAGGTAGAAATTTAAGTAAAATTCAATTTATTTTAATATAAAACATGGCATTGTCGCCATTTAGAAATGCTATGAGTGGAAGTTATGAACATTAAGAGAAAACTTTCTGTCAAGTTTTGGATGAGTTCTAACACTCTGCCCTGGGGAATTGAAGGAAACAGGCGGATTTGTGGCAGGAACATTAGATGGCGAGTCGGCAGTCGACCAGACTGAGGAACCTTGTGGTAAAGGATCGCCCCATTGTGATGCAATACTTGGATGCAAACCAAGATGATCCAGTGATAACATTCTGAAGTTTTGATTGTTGGTTGGCGGCGGTGGTTTACTGGGAGCTCGTTGCCATACTAACTTTGGTGGCCATGTTTTTGTTGTGTTACTTTCCTGCAACAAAACAGCATGAAATAAAATAAATGTGCCAAAGTTGTCAAACAGCAGATGTCAAATTTCATTAGATGCACAACTTCAATAGGTGATTTCCGGTTCAACTGCAAGATCCCACGAGTTGCGTGAAAGACATGCGCAGAATGTCTGTCACAAAAATTGAACGATTTGAATTTGAACTCAAATTTCTTTATTTCGTAGCTTACACCGAAAGGCTGATCTTTGACAGGGAAATATTGCATTTGAATACCCATACCTCATTGAAATTGACCATCATCAAATGTGTACAGCACAACATTAAGCATGGAAATAACCCCCTTTTGCGTTTGTTGAATCCCACGCAATGTTTGACGCCACTACGACGCTATGACTTTTGTTTGTCCTGTTTTTATGTTCAATTTCATGCATAATGTGGGGTCTTGCAGTGAACAGAAAATTTTCTACAAAAGTACCGGATTCTGCCGTAAATTCGCCCATCCGAAAAATCACCCTGGGCGGTTTCACGGCTGGTGGGCCCTTATTTGGGGTTCAAATTTTCAAAAAAATTATCATCAATTATTTTTAGGGGGCTTATATTTTCATTGAAAAATCCACCTACGCCGATTTTCAACGCCGGCAGTTGGACCACCCAAAACGAAAGAAACTAGATTTGTATTGCAGAAGCTAATCTAAGTTAAATTTTTATACATTTTTTTTCTTGCTGGATTAAAAAGTAGACAGCACATTTTTCTCCAAAAAAATCACATTAACGAACCTCGTGCGCCAAATACAATTGTTTTTTTTGTTTTTTTCATTTTATTAGTAACGAAAGTATATTCTACTCATAAATAAAATAAGTTTCAAATAACAACCGACGCAACTGCATTGCTTACTAGCAAATGATCGTGGTAACGCAATCTGGTCATGCTGCGTTTTACAATTGTTGATTACTACCTAGTAATGATTATAATAACGTGCAAAAAATAAATTTGTTGAATTGTTATAAAATGCAAATAAATTTCAGCTTATTTCATCGTAAGCGAATGATTTCGATCACATTTTCAACGCTCGATGCTGTAGAAATGAATATCCGCCATGTTTGACCTGAGATGGTGTTCTTTGACCTGACAGGTCAAATCAATAATTAACCAATGAAAACGATGGATGATGCCAACGTGTTCAAATTACCATAGATATGTTAATGTAATTGAACACAGCGCGAAAGAAATTTGCCGATGTTGTTGTACGATCTTTTGGCTTGGATTTCGATTGGATAGCGGCATGACTTGTTTTTAAATAAAAAAATTAGTTGTTTTCAAAAGATAAACTGAGCATTTAAAGAATAATTTAACATTATTTACAGCGATAACAGCTCATTGTCGAAACAAAGCTAACCCTTTCACGCTAGTCGTAATGAACAACAATACAATGTACTCTTGAATAGGCGTCGATGACTACGGCGAAACTTTTAGGCATCAGAAAAGATTAAAATTAACACCTTAAAAAACCGCCCTGGGCGGTTTCTTGGTCCCATTTTATTTTTTTAAAAACCCGAACTGCCGTTTAACGGCCCTGGGCGAATTTACGGCAGAATCCGGTATATTGAAAACCATCAATTGAATTAATTGTATACCAAATCATTTAAGTATTACTTCCTTTGGCCATACACATATATACAGTATTTCTTATAAATTCAGCTTGCATCTACTCTTTTGAACAAAGCTAAACTACAGTGATATTGACGATTTGCTTGGAGCGCCCCCATATGGTGAGAAGAAGAAATTAGAAGTACCAGATAAAATAAGTTTTAACTAAATCTGCTAAATAGTGTAGGAGATATTGACAATCAATTAAATATGTAAATGTGTTCATTATTACTGCATGCTATCACCAGAACATGTAAATATTTCTTGCAGCAATACAAAGTTTAGGAAACTCAACTTCTACATATTGCAGTACATTCCTCATAATGATAAAACAATTTAGATGATATTGAGAAAAAACTAATTCAATATATACAAACATTAATTTAAGAATAAAACTGCAATATCAGCAATTCTCCAGACAAATATAATACCGGTACATGTAATATGTACATGTATCATAAAAAATAGTTTGTGCGATATCAGTGGGGCAGACAGATGCACAGACACTGGGACATGACATTCACATACAGGAATTTTGAATTAAATTTACCATCATGACATCCAGATATTTTTTGTGTTGATTGTCTTCGTTATCATGCTCCCCACCGCTGCTATGGCGTCTGTTGGGAGAACACACAATTGTAACTATATGATGTATTCAGTATTTCTCAGGCAGCAGCACTGTCAGTTCTGTGTCTATCAAATTACCTTCAGGCAAAAGAAACCACTAAACCAGAACCTGTTAGTTTTGTGTCTATAATCTTACCTTCTGTTGAGAGAAGCCACCAAGTCAGGAGCAGTCAGTCCTAGTCCCATATTAAATACATTTTCACCATTGTTAGATGAAGAGTCATCACTAGAACTACCTGAATCTTGACCACCAGTCCAACTCATACTTAATGGATCGTTGTTGTTGTTGCTGTTGCTATAGTAAGAACAGCAATTCATGATGTGGTCATTAATTCAATCACTTATCTTTTGAGATTTGTCATTCATTGTAAATTATACTATATGGCGCAAACTGAGAGCATGCTGTATCTCATTGAACCAAAGTCAAGATCCTTAGCTCAACCGATCACTGGTAGCATAGTGGTTGTTGCATCAGACTCATGATCGGTAGACCCAAGTTCAAATCCTACCTCAGGCTGAACATCAAAGGGTCGAGAGATGGCCACACAGCCCTGTCATGTGTGTAGTTCCAAAACATGAATATGGCTTCTGTGGCAAAAATGCACTATATGTCAGCACTTGCAACTTTCACATACAAAAACGTCAGGAGAGACAACAGTGACATTCAATGTCCAGAACTGTCGCCGGGCACAAAAACATTTTTAAAAAAAATCCTTAGCTCAACTACTGGCTTTCAAGAATAAGTCTAAAATAGCATTTGAGGTTATTGTCTTGAAATACATATTTGAAAGAGACACCTACAAATACAATATTAAATCAATCAGACTGGTAGTAAAAGTGATAACTTTAATTGTACTGTCTGACTCTGCCACATACTATCATAGGACAATATTTAAACAAGACTTACTGGTCAGTTGTATTTTCATTGATAGGCCAACTTCTGTTTAGTCTTGATTCTGGCACTAGCCAAGACGGAGTATTAACATCTGACATATTGCCATGGTAACCACTATGACTTCTTCGTCCAGGGATGTTTGTAGCTAAGTATTTGGCAAATTCAGGATCATAACCGTGCGATCCGGGCAGGGTTTGCGATTCATGGAATGGTCCCCTGGATCCGTTGCTATCCATGGACCATGACACTGATGACTCTGTATTTCTATCTATTGTTTCACCCTCATTATAGCATGGATTAAAGTTATCGTACTGAGTATTATCTACAGTCTTCCATGGACTGATATGCTTACTGACTTCAAGTGGTTGCTGTGGTTTGGCAGGGCCTCCTGACAGTAGGTTAATAACATCATCCAGCTGTTCTTCTGAGGCCTTCCATGTGATATCACATTGGATATTTTCACTCATTCTTGCTTGAAGTTCCTCAGTGCCTGCGATAAATGTTGATAAATTAGGATTAGAAGCAGAACAAGGCACCAAATATGAAAGTTTGGCAGTCTATGAAGGTACATTTGTATAGCTAGAAAAGCCAACATGAGATAGTAGAAAATCAATAAGATAGTTCTGTTAAATATCTATTTTGTGTTCACAGAAAGTTGATCCAAATCTTTCATCAAATTCTACCGGTACATGTATATCAAAGCAATAGCATACCAGGTCAAAATTATATTTATTACAAAAAAATATTCTGAAAACAATTGTACCAGCATTTTGTAGGGAAAAAAATCTGACAGTTGGCATTCTTTTCAGCAGCAATAAATAACTAAATTAATGTCTTTTATTTAAATTGTAGCTACCTCGATCATGTGACTAATAACAGATATCTGGTGAGATGCAATAACAGACATAATTTGTACTGGAAATACCTGGTTTACTTTCACGGCTCCAGTCGGGTAGTTTCTCCTCATCAGGACTAGTGTCAGTTGTTATGGTAACAGTGGGGTTACCAATGGATACAATTTGTTGCATGGGTTTTCTCTGCCACACTTTAGCATAATTTGCATCACCTGCTGGGCTAAAAGATACATTATCACAGTCCACTGATTGGTTGACTTCATCAGAATCTCTATTTTGATTGGTTGGCACAGAAAATACACTTTTAGTATGAAAACCACTTTTGGATGTTGGGCTGGTGGCAGGAGAAGACTTTCTTGCAAACTTTGATGTTAACTTTGTAAAGGTTTTACGTAAACCACTTGTGGGTGATTCTGAAGTGCTCTGTAGCTGGCCGGCAGCCTGAGCGGAGTAACTGCTTGTAATACTTGGTGGCAAAGTTAGTGGTCTGCCCATTGTATCAAATGTTCTGTTTGAAGTATCCACAGAATTCTTGCATAGTTTGATGTGGATTGTTGGTAGACATTGGCACCTGTAAAACAAAAAAGACACAATCACTACAAGCCCCATATCCAAATCCAGTTTGCCAAAATATTGACTTGTCTTTGTAATACCAAACCTCTCCAATATTATGACATGAAACACCCCTAACTCTGACACACCCCTGGCCTAACCAAAATCATGATATAAAACACTGACCTTCCCTCGTTCCAATCTAATAAATCAATCTTGACAGTGTAAGTAGCTTCAATGACAGCCAGTTTATTATGTGGATGGTATCCAGATTCTGCAATGAGTTCATCTATCAGCCACCATATGGTAGGCACTTCAATTATCAATGTCGTACCATCAGCAGAGACCTGCGCATACTGTTGAAGATCTCCTTCTCCTGGTGCTTTAAAAACTGACACCTGTATCATAAATGCTTTATTATTACACAACTAACACTAAAAATAATAGAATTTGTTGTTCCATAAGAAGTATCTGTACTGCAATTTGACTAGTTCAATGTGATACACTGTAATGTTTGTAAGGTGTGTCCATACTTACCAGATTAGATCTAGCATAGAGTATCTGCACTGCAATTTGACTAGTTCTATGTGATACACTGGGATGTTGGCAAGGTGTGT